CGGTTTCGTGTCTTCTCCCTCCGGGCCTCCCTCGGCGTCAGGCTCCTCAGCCTCACCTCCTGGCTCGCGCGGGTGATCCGGGTAGAACTTGGTGGGTGAAGGCGTTCCGCCAAATATCGAGGTCCCAAACTGTATAGGGCCTTATATGTAAGCATTAAAACTTTGAAGTCGATACGGAAACGGATGGGCAGCCAATGCAGTCTAGCCAGGATAGGAGAAATGTGATGGTATTTTCTCCCTCCAGTGAGGAGTCTGGCTGCTGCATTCTGCACCATCTGAAGTTTCCGTATCAACCTCAAAGGTAGCCCCACGTAGAGCGTGTTGCAGTGATCTAATCTTGAGATTATAAGCGCATGCACTAAGGTGGTGAGTAGACGCTCTCTAGGGGGGCGTGGTAGAAATCGAATGAATGAATAAATGAATGAATGAATAAATAAATAAATAAATAAATTCTACTGCTTCTTCAATCAAAGTGAATAGGAAAAATAATTAAAGAGTTAAAGAGTGTCACAGGGAAAGAACTACTAATCAAGAAAAGGTCCAGGAAACAGCCCCGGGGCCCAGGATGATATGGACAACTGACCTTAACTGGCCAAAGAGCCAAGGCTTACCCCATGTCTGCCAGACATAGACAAACTTGCCACGTTTGCCACGGTCACTTGGGGAGAAGGGCTGTCCATCAGGAAAGAAGCAGTCTGACCTCTGAGGATCCTGATCCGGAAAGACAGGGTCTCCTTCCATCACATGAGTACCTGCAAGGAATGAGAAACTGGCAGGGTTGGAAACAGGGCCTGGAAGGAATAGGAGCTCTGATGGTGCACCACATGTACAGGGTCTCCTTCCATCACATGTAGGGGCACCGCATGTACTCAAGCTCACCATTTATGGTGCAGTTCTGGCTCCACACTATGCGGCCATCTGGCAGCACCGTCTGGTTGCCCGGGAAGCGGAGGGCAATGCTGAACGTGGCTTTGGCACCAGTTATAGTTGGGGCATCATTGCTGATATCAAATTTTACATCGCCACCTGGGAAGGAAAAGTTAAAGAGGGAAAATTACCTCAGAACTCTAGGTTCCTTCACCACCTCTGGAGAGGCCACTTGTGCCTTGGGCACCCAAGGATGAAAGAGAGCACCCAGTTGCTTAAGATTTGCATGTGCTAATGTGTAGCATATACATGGGTACATTTCGACAGTATTTTAAATGCTGTAAGCCGCTCAGAGACCTTTGGGTAGTGTGGGCGGCATATTAATTAAATAAATAAATTAAATAAATTAAATAAATTAAATAAATTAAATAAATAAATAAATGTGTAGCCTGCATATGGTAATTAAATTGTAAACTGCCCACAGAGTATATAAGCAGCACACGTTTAAAAAGTTCTACAGCTGAAATGGAAATACAGTACATTTAATTCGAATGCTGAAGATTGTGACTAAGTAAACCATGTGCCAGTGGGGACGTGGTGGCGCTGCAAGTTAAACCACAGAAGCCTCTGTGCTGCAAGGTCAGAAGACCAGCAGTCGTAAGATCGAATCCACCCAACAGAGTGAGCTCCCGTCGCTTGTCCCAACTCCTGTCAACCTAGCAGTTTAAAAGCATGTAAAAATGCGAGTAGACAAATAGGGACCACCTCATTGGGAAGGTAACGGCACTCCGTGTCTAGTCGCGCTGGCCATGTGACCACAGAAAATGTCTACGGACAAACGCTGGCTCTACGGCTTGGAGACGGGGATGAGCACCGCCCCCTGGAGTCGGACATGACTGGACTAAATGTTGAGGGGAATCTTTGCCTTTACCTAACCCATCTGCCTGTGGCAAGCCCTTCTCACTCTCCCTTCTTCTGGTTTTTTAGCTCTGAATTTGAAATCCACACCTTGCCAGCAGTTTTGCTGTCTGGAGTCTCCCTCTTTCCACCTGGGATACAGTCGTGAATTCCACGTCTTGTAGGCCGAATGTTTCTGGCTCCAGTTTTGTTCCCATCTGTTCTTTCTGCCACTGGTCCCTGCGGGAAGGAAGGAAGTTAGTTCTCATTTTGAATCTGTAAATTACTGTATTTTTAATAATTTTGAAAATGTGATGTCATAACATTTGTTACAATGTTAGACCATGTTACAGAATACTGTTCTTTCAGTTCTGCTTCACTGTTTCATAGAGCAATGTTTTCTCACTTTTGGGTATCCCAGGTGTTCTGGGATGCCCAAGGATGTATCAGCACCAGCTGTGCTGGCTGGGGTTTCTGGGAGTTGTAGTCCAAGAACACCTGGGTGACCCAAGGTTGGGAAACACTGTCATTGAGAAAGCGGGACATGCTGGTGTGGTAACATCACCATCGCCCTGAAGACCACTTCCTGATTACACACACTGTTACTCTTTATTACTGAAGGTTCTTTGCCTACTGCAGACTCTTTGGTTTTACTCTGTAATAGTCTACTGCACATCAGTCTCTGAAGGAGGTCATGTATTTATTATTACTTTTAGAGTGCTCAAATTCACTGTTCAAATTGTCTCTGTCCGTGGCTCTGACTGTGGCACAGCAGCTATAACTCAAAGCTTGTGCAGCAATGTAGTCTATCTGAACAGGTAGCCCATGAAGCGGAGGGCAGAGAAGGAAAGCTCTATTCATGTGGTTACATTTTGTGTATGCATTCATAGATGCTGAGGTCAAGATACATCTCATCTCAGAAAATTAAGGCCAATCTGAACAATACGTATATGGAAATGAATGGGATGGGATTTATAAACACTTAAGCAGAAGTCACTGCCATTCCAGAAATTAATGTTAAAAAAAATGAATAAGAACATCAAGCCCATTTTTGAAAGAAACATTTATCTTAGGGCAGCAATGAGAAGATCTAGCCGCTCCGCTCTCACCCATACATCCTCTTTTCCATTCAGATAAAACTGAACAATGGAGAGGACGGAGCAACAAAGGCTAAAAGACCTCACCAATCATGGGAAATTGATAACACTTGAAGATTTCAAAAATATATTAGAAGGAAGGAAAGTTAACTGGCTCTAAATAAAACAAGCCACAGATTTTATTTGGAAAACAACTAATACCTACAAACCTCTTCAACTAATAACACAATTTGAGGAAATGTGCAACAATCACACAAACACAACACAAGAAATCTCCAAAAGATATTCTTTAATGACAGGTGCAAAATACAGTATAGGATTACAACCAGGACATTGGGAATTGTACCTTGGAAAAATTTACTCTGAGGTGCAGTGGAACAAATATACGGCAGTCTCCTCCATTTAAAAGAATTAAATTAATGGAAATAACTCTCAAAATAGCACATTGGTTTGATTGAAGCCCAGTGAAGATGTCAAAATATGACTCTACTGTAGTGGAGAAGCTGCATGTTTAGGGGATCCCTTCATCTTATGTGGCCAGAATGCCCTGAGGTTAAAAAATATGTATTTAATTTGATACAATATATGACAGGTTTAAGAAAACCCCTGGATATGACACTAACCTCATATTATTCTTATTATTTTTAATTGGTATAAATGAAAGTCTGTTATGTTATGCAAACACTTAATCTTATTAACACTAGCGGCTAGAATGGAAATCGCACAAGACTGGAAAATGCTAAAAGAAGATTTCAGCATATACATGGATACACAAAGATTATGGGAAACTGCAACTCTAGAGAAATTAACTAAGGAAGTAAAACAGGGTCTTTGTGTAGAGGTGACTTCAGTGAGACATTGCTCCTTTTATATATTTCATGACTTTCTCAGGTCTGAAGCATGGATTACAGAGACTGTATCAAAAATTTTGGTAATTTCATAGACTAATACTAGAAAAATGTATTCAAGACATGAAGAATTCTTTAACCTGGATAATAATAATTTTTAAATCTCTTTTTTATATTTAATGTTAATATTACTCTCTATAGTTTGAAAAAGAATAACAACAAACTAGCAAACAGGCAGATACATCTCCCTATGTCACTCACAGAAGTTTTTAGAGACCTCAGTTCTGAAATGTGAATAATTGAAACAGAAACTGGTGCTAATAATATTTTAAAAACACACCCAAGCCTCTCTTCAAGGAACAAAAGAGGAAGAATGCTTTACTAGGAAAAGATATTTTAGAGCATGGGAAATTTACTTTGTTGGGTTATAATTTTGAAAATCCCTAAGTCAGGACCGGCAGAAATCGGGTTGAATGTGAAGGGACTTTTGCCATTTCACATGACACAAGCTGTACTATAGTTTAAAATGCAGTAAAATAATGCCTATTGCACACTGTTTTAAAGTATAGCTGGACCTTGACTGGGCAAAGCGTGTCCTTTCTTCTCCACAGGACTAGGACATCCGGTAGGTGTCTGGTTCCTACAGCGGCAACAGAAGCTACCAATGTGCTCCCTGGCTGACAGCAGGTAAGCAAGCCCTGTACAGAGAGAAGGGCAGCAGAGCCCTCACCTGCTCCCCATGTAGCCAAAACAGAGTTGCTGAAGCTTACGGCCCTGGACAAGAGGGCAACATCAGCAAGAGGGCAACATCAGCCAGCTACTTTGGCAACTGGCTAGTTAGCAGGGTTTCTTGGGGCGGGGGTGCCACCTGTTCAGATACAACAGGACATGTGATCAGAATGGTTTTGCTCCAGTTTGCGACTATTCCACAGTAAAAAGCTTACTGTGGCATATTGTGGCTCTTACTAACCTGTAATTTCAGAATCTGGGTTCTGGAGGAGCAGTTCACTTTTTATTTGTCTGTTAGCAAAAGAGAGAGCAGGGGAGGAGGAAACAGCAAAAACTTTGTGGCACCTTTTAAAAAATGAATAGATTTCTGTGAAATCCACTTTCACACATAGGATGATCTGTTATAGTTACATGGTTATATATATGGTGATCTGTTATAGCCCACCAGAAGTAGGCCCTTCACTAGCTGAAATGAACGTCAACATATTACACATGCTTGGTGCTCACACAATGGAGACACAGGCATTAACAATTTAACTGGGTGTGTCTCCAGTTTTGTGTAGGGAGACATGGAAGGAGCATCCCTGAAGAATGTGAGGACTATGAACATATCTGGAACACTTTCACTGGAATAGAATTCTATTTTCATTGTATTCAACACCAAAACTCACCACATTTAGGCTCTTCTGTCTTGTGCTGGCCTTTGAGAGACTCAAGCCTGTACGCCCTTTACTGTATTCCTGCTGTTTCCGAGGAACCCAAGCTCAACAAAAAAGGTCCAAATTTAAAGCAGGGATGGGAAACGTGCAGCAGCCGCCTCATGTTGGGATCGCCACTGAAGCCCCCAGAGGCCTTCTGAAACCAATTTTCCCTCATAAGAAAAGGAGAAGTGCATTCCTTAAGCTTCAAGGGTCATAGTGTGATTGTTGATTGAAAAGGGAGTGGCGCAAAGCATGTCCTTAGCTCTCTCCTGGCCCCGTTTTTATCGCAAAAAAAGAGTTACTTGTCGTACTTGAAGGCCTCCAGGAGCCATGATTCACCTTTTAAATAGGTCACGCAGGTCACCTGCACTATTGAATAACATCCCCAAATGCCCATTTTGAAAGCAAGACAAGGACAGCTAGCTGCTTCTGGTTTTCTTCCTCTTCTTCTTCTTCTTCTTCTTCTTCTTCTTCTTCTTTTTGTTTTTTTTTTTGTTTTTTTTTTGGTGAGGCTTTGTGACATATGGAAGACTATGCAGTCCCCAGAGGGTACCGGGGCAGAACATTCGTCCTAGGTCTGCCAAAATTGCTGACCCCACCTTAAAACAAGGCATAAGGGCCCTCTGTTCTTTGTTTCCATCCCCAAATGGTTTCTACGAAATCTGAATTGATGGCTCACGCATGATGTGTGTGACCTGTGGTGGGTCCTAGGTGGGACAATTGGCCCCCAGATTCAAAGAATTCACCCATCCTGGTCTGAGGTTTTCCTGGGTCATATTTGAAATAATTCTTAGAGTCTGATTATGGAAGGGGGAAAAAGTGTGAAATAGTACTGGTTTGGGGCTGACTGATTCACATTTTCCCCCCTGTTGATCCCATGATGTAATAGGAAATGTGAATCAACCCACAGTCCCACAGCCCCAATCCATTGTTCTTCTTCTTCACCAGAAATCCTTCTACTTTGAAAAAGTTGAATCCTTTCATTTGAGTTCAAAGCATGTGATCGTTTGAACGGATGCAAAAAGACCATCAAAGTGCACACATACACACACAAAGCAGTGCTTTGACAAAGCACCTTCCCCCTTGCCTCACAAGGGATGACAGAGATAGCACGCGCATGCACGCCCACAGTGCCAGCACTCACCTCTCTCTGAAAATCTTCTCTCCCAATACACTTCTTGTTTTAACAGCTTCTTCTGGGATAGAGCTCCTGCTTATTTATTAATGAGCTCTTCCAGCTGGCAAGATAAGATGAGGAAATAACTGACTGTGGAAGGAAAACCTTCTTAAGTTCCTTTGAACCACACCACCACCTACAGATGCATCAATAGAACTGCAATCAGAAGGTGCCCCCTACCCCGCCTGTGTGGCCACACATATCAAAGAGAATTAAATGTTCTGGTTTGACTTCACAGTGATTTAAATTATATTTTCCTCACTGTGTAGTTGCACCCCTTAGTCTGGAAATGTAGGAAGAGAGGCGTATAATTTCTGCATGTGAGTAAAGAGCTCTCCTTAAATTCCTTAACAGATTAGTATACAGTATTTGGCAAGCAGTCGAGTCTGTGAGTGAGACGATTCTTGGATGAGACAATTAACTAAATGCTGCTTCCAATCTAGCATTTTTATTACAGCACTAACAAGAGAGAAATAGTCAGTGCCCTTCAAATAAAATGATAATTAAGATCAGTTAACTAAAACTTATTAGGATCCTTTAAGGGAACTCACCAAAGCAGCTTGCAGGGAAAGGAGGCACATCAGACTCCCTAATGTCTCCCTCACCTTTGGCAGACCAGACTAGACTAGACCAGCTCAGGCAGGCCTTTGCCTCTTTGCTCCCTAAGCAAAGACAAAGGAAAACTTGCCTTACGAGGAAAAGTGTTTCTCCTGGGAACTCCTAGACAGGGAAATCAAACTAACCAATCTACGGTATATCCTTGTAAAAAGACTTGTCTAGGTTGTTCTTGCTGGTGTTGCTATTGCTGCTGTTGCTATGTGTCCACAAGTCACTTCTGACTTATGAATTAATGACCTTCAAAAGGTCTTGACCTGTGGCATAGCATCATCAAACCACCACTTGTTCACAAAGCTTGCTGGCTGACCTTTGGCAACTGATTAACTTACTACCTAATTTAACTGTTGGGGTTTTTGGGAAAATGTAAATGGAGAGAAGGGGAAGGATCGTGCACCTCACCTTGAGGTTCTTGAAGGAAACGCCAGATATCAGTGAAACCAAAGAAACAACCAAGAATCACACTTCCTTGGTAAGAAAATATGGAAGTACTAGAAAAATGTGCCTTTCCAACAAGAATGTAGCAACGCTGGGATGTAGAGGTATAGGGGAGTTTGCAAACTTCACATGCATTGAGTAATGGCTGTTTACTTCTTTTGCAAGCAAAACCAACAGCTGGAAAAGTTCCACTACCAACCTCTTCACACACTTCAGTTACATTTTCCACTCATTCCCAAACTGTTTTTTTCTCATCAACTGTCATTTTCTCATGACATCTTTATCTTCACCTATTGACTTCAATTATATGAAATTTAATATCAATCCTATATTATGGACAGTGTATGGCAAGTACTTTGAATGAAATAAACACAGACTGGTAAAAAATGATACACTTTTTCTTTCTTTTCCAGTCCATGTGTTGAGCTGTTATTACACTTCATATTAGTACAGTAATTCTCAAAATTCCAGCATCACAGCTTTTGTTTTTTTGTGAAATGTTCATACCTTTTACTAACATCTGATCCACTTCTACAAAACAAAAACATTCAATTCATAATTTAAAGCAGAAAAGAAGCACACAAGACTAGTAAAAAGATTCTTAATGAATGTTGTGGTAGGATTTTTTTAAAAAAAAAATTGATTAAAAAAGACAAACCTGTTATGAATATCTCTCAGTCTCTCCCACCCTCAAATTCCTACACACAAACACACAAATGGTTTGGGAACTAAAATGTTAGAAGTTGTGTGGACAGTTTTTACTTTCTGCCAACCAAATACCGGTTGCCAGATTTCTGTATCCATGGGAATATACATACATACAGAAATTCAGTAGCTTTAACAGTTTCGTAGAAGTCAGAAAGGTAGCAACTCTTGCATTTATCAAAACTGCAGCAATGTGATAAAATAGGAGCCTTTCCTACATGCACCCAGGCACTCTGGCTGGCTGATCCCTAACAAATTTCAGCACACCGACCGCCATCATCTCTACTTGCTACCAGTTTCAGGAGCAAACTACAACCCATCTGTATGGCCTGTGCGCTTCTTGTCCCTGCTGCTATCTTCCAGCCTTTGGTGGAAAGTGGGGGCGAGGGGGGCAGGAGATGACAAGTATACACTGCATGGTCAGTGCCTTGTTCACCCCCAATTCAGCTGAAACAGCCCTGCCTTCAGCTGAGAGTCACATGAAAGAGCTTGGGCAGAGGCTGCCAAGCCCCATGTGACGGGAGCCCCACGGCCCTGTGCTGGGCTGAGCCATCACATGCTGGCTGCAACCCCGGTAGAGGAGAAAGTTCCTGGGCTCCTTGCCATACAAATGGGGGCGGGGGGGGGGCGGGGAGACTACAAAGGGGAATGGGCCAAAGAGGGAATTCACTGCCTGAAGGACTACGGGGGGAATGAGGAAAAGTGGGAATGGAGTATATGGTCAGGAGGAAACGTTCCTTTCACGTTCTCAACTTTTTTGTGATTTTAATTTTCCAGATATAGAGTGAAGGGAAGTGTGAAGATAATGGAGAGAAGAACCCATCAGAAAAAAATCATCCCCACATAAGAAGCTACTGTCTGATAAAGTCAGAGCATTGGGCCATCTATTTCACCGCCATGTGCTCGCTACTAGCTTCCCAGGTTTTCAGCACTTTTCCCAGCCCTATGTGGAAATGCTGGAGATTAAACCTGGGGCCTTACTTCCTCCTCCTCCGAGTCACATTGATTGGGCACTAGAGCTTAAATTGGTTATGGGTGAAGTCATTGGTTGTAGTGCCGAGATCAAGGAAAGATAAGTGTCTGGACACCTCCCAAGGGAAAGAGGTAGGATGAAAATGGTAAACCTATTCCTAAACCTAAACTAAAAATTTGCCCAGTAGAATCTTATAGTGCCTTTGAACTACAGTTAAAGCAAAGTCTGCAATAGCATCCACCTCTTTCTTGAAAACCACCTCTGGAAGCCTGACAGGAGGAAAGGTAGTTTTCAGAAGTGACATTTAGTGGCTAGAAATCTGTTACTGAGATGTCAGCAGCACTAAGCAGATGGATGGAGGGAAAAGGTGTCAAATCATTCTTCACACTGAATGCTTTATCTATCATATCCACATGAAAAGGGATTCAGTTCTACTTAGCCCTGTGTTGTTTGTCCATCCTCTCCTTATATTCTGTCTGGTGACCACACCTTACAATAAGGTAATCCAGAGCCTGGAAACACTACCTTTTCCCACCTATTTATTATTATTATTATTTATGTTTATTTATTTTAGCATTTCCTACCCAGAATTTCCTACCCAGTATGTCCAGTGGACCGCAGGACATTCCCAATAGACAAATAAATTAGCTAACTAGCTGCTACATTTGATCTCCGTTCATAGCATTAATTGTAGAAAGTGGTTGTGTTATATTAAGGAAAAGGTCTGGGGCAGATCAGAACAGAGTAAGAGGAATGGAGTAAGAACGGATTAAGAGAGGGAGAAATAATTCACAAGGCTGCATCTGCAGCTTCTTTCCACTTTGCCATAGTTTTCGGAGAAGAAAAAACAGAGGAGAGGAACATGAACGAGTGTTGTATTAGCAGTTTCTCATGTACACAGCTGAAATCCTGTGTTTGACATGTATATCATGCACACAGATGAATGCAGTCTGTAGTGTAAGATGTTGTCTGTGTGCTTTGTTTACATAGTTACAATGGTGATCTAAGATGGTGCAAAATCACAACCATCATCCTTTTACAACAGGCACATACATACACATAGTCCACATTCCAGACAGCAATAATCACCACAAGAGGATTAAAGTGTTTTTGTCTGCTCAGTTCTCCATGAGGTTTAGCTTTACAGGTGTGCATGGGTGAAGGAGGAGGAAGTGAGTGACAGAGAATATGTCCTTGACTTTGCTGAAACCCATTTACACTGAAGCTGAAATAGCCATCTCGGTGGTTGACTGGAGTATTATTTTTTTAACCTGTTGGAATTTGGGGTGGGGTGGGGACTTGAGATTTTACTCTCACATACAGTACTTTCTGATTATTCTAGAACTCTGCCAAAATTTAGAACTATAACCTTATACAATCGGCTTTTCTTTTCATGCCGACATTCTTTTCCACCATGATTATCCTCAGAATTAAGCCTGTTTTCTAAGTTAAAGTTGCCTGCCAAAACTCCTAGTTCAGATCACACCCTTGCACCTGCTGTGCACTCTATAATAAAAGTTAAAACCCTTCACACAATTGTTAATTCTGTGAACAGTACCATATCTAATGTGGGGCACAGTTCTGGGACCTTGTCTTGAAACTTGAGGATAAATTAGTTATTAAACAAATACATCTTGGATTTCAGCTAGTGAGGGATGCAGATCTTCAACTGAGCAGTCGGCTCTGGAATAAATGTCTTGTGGACTTTGAACCTACAATATTTCCATAAATGAGAAATAGATCAAGCAGAAATCTTCCTTTAATAACAATAAGCCCATGGCTTTTCTCGAAGGCACCTAGATCTGAACATCTTAATTAAAAATGTGCAAAAGTATTTGAGAATTAGCTTGTGTTTTCTTCTGAGTACTTTGCATGGAAGCAAGACATTAAAGAGGAGAGGCCAAAATGCATTATCACCAAGGCAATTTTTACAAGTTTGAACCATTCTCACATTTGAATGCTATTAATGTGGGAAAGCATATGGAAGAAAAATTAGATATACATTGCCAATACAGTTTTTTATATTGTTTTACCTAATTTAAAAGAAAATTTATCTAAGCCTCACCTATGAATAAGCCCATTGGCTATGACAGCTTATTTTTAAAAAAAGGCACCGGAAATCTAAAGTGTAAACATATAAAAAGGAAAATAGCCTATGTAGTCAGAAAGAAAACATATAATCTGTGTTGTCCTTTAAAGGAGTAACTGCTACTGTTGGAATTGTGGAGACTTTCAACCAAACCCAAAACAGAGAATATTCACACCATCTTTGCACTGACAAAGATGACTCTGGATACTAGTGCTATAGCTAGGGCAATCTTAATTTTGCTGTGCCCCTTACTCTACAGCGTAGTAAAGGTCACAGTTTATTCTGACTGAGCTGCAAGTTCATAATGTGGGACTCATGGGTGACGGGGTTTATTTCTACGGATGCCAGTGACAGAATCAAGATGTATCGTTCTTTCTGTAAGGAAGGAAGAAAAATCCTGGACTGTACTTACTGCGCTGAGCTGTAGCTACAGCCAGAAGGGCCCAAATCATAACCAGCAGGTACCAACCCCGTGGCATCTTCACCCTGGGTTCTGTGTAGCCGCCTGAGCTTCTGAAGGCAAAGGAGAGCAGTAAAGAGCCACCCGGCAATAAGAAAGGGAGCTCATTTCCATAATCCCACCCTTTCCTTGGATTTAAGGCACCACTTTCTTTCCTCACCTCCCGCTTTCTAGTAACGGACGGACGAGCCATGGGATGTGTGACCTAGTCACAAGTTAGCGTTGTGGTGAAACACAGTGGGGCCCCATTATTTGATTCCTTAGTTGAAGGGAATGTTAAAGAAGGGGATGGGCCAAACCCAGACACTGGGGCTCTTCTTCATGAAGGAAGCTGGGGGTTAATTAGAGAGAGGACAAGAGAGACAAAGTACTGTATAATGTAACTTCATTAAAGGGTACTGGGGTGAGATTACAGGGTTTCTCGGCTGCCCCGCAACCTCATTTTCTCTTGGGTTGTCACTCTGGCCTTTCTGCAAACCCGCTCAAGAAGAAATATGGTATCTAGAGCACTAAGAAGGCAAGGTTTGTAAAGGAACACAATTGAAGCAATCAAGAGGGAGAGAGTTTGGTGGGCATATCAGGAGCATTCCTAGCCCACTGCTCATCACGACTTGGAAGAAACTGGAGGTTTGTAGTAAAGACAAGGCAAAGCCAGTTGGAAAACAACTGTGAGCTGTAGTGGTTAAGAGACCTGCAATATAGTAGTTTAAGGTTGGAACTTGGAATAGGCTGATACCTACTTTAGGTATTAAAACACAGCAATTATATTAAACTGGTCTCCATTTCCCAATTGATGGTGAGACCAAATGAATGCAGGGGAATACTTACATTGCTAGCCGAAAGAGAATGTACAACTACTTCGCTTTTTCTTTTGTTAGACTTTTTTGTTTGGAAACCTCTGTACAGACATCATGGACATAAATGTGCACAAAAAAGAAAAGAAAAGCGAAAAGACATAAGAAGCAGAGTAATGGCTTTCTGTGAATGGCCATTGCACATAGAAGACCCCTTTCTAAGAATGCACTTGTCCAGCAAATGCTTCACCCAGAAGCTCCATTTGTAATTTCAGTAATGAGGAATTGAACTTATTTACCTTTCTTTTTCTTCCCATTCCGTTTTCCATCTATCAGTTGATGAGTCAGCAAGTAAAGATTGTCTTATGTTTTATTGTTTTTACAGTGCTTAAAATTAGGTATTCTAGGAATGAAATGAGGAAACAGTCCCACCTGCCTTGTGCTGGCTTCACGTTTGCGTTCAGTTTCTGGAATGAGATATGTCTTTGTGAGGCAATTTTAGTATCTTATTTCCAGTAGCATGTTGTATTTGGTGAAAATCTGTCTTTGTTCTGACAAGTGCTCTGGCAGATGTGCTTGTGAAATACCTGATGTTATTTATTTATTTTTAATTTAGTATCATGAAAATATACATTTTTTCTTTTGCACGGTTATGATTGTTTTGCAACAATGGCAGATTAATCAGCCTGCTGAGACAAAAATAACAGCTACATCATACATGTGGACAGCTTTCTTGACTGTTCTTGATGCTCCCAGGATATAGGAATTATACAGAGAAGTGCACTGTATGCATGCTACACATGTGCATTAGAGATGGGGCTATTTGTATACCAATACGAATAGCCCCATCTCTAGTATGCATCCATTTTCTGTGTCTCCAGTGGCGCATAAAAGTAGTTCCGCTCAGTGTTTCTATTAAAAATAACACCAACCAAGGCTTTCAAAACACAAATGCACCTCTCAGAGAAGATGTTACAGACAGAAGACTGGGTTGAATCACTGTACAAAGTATCCAGCACAGTAGAGTCCACCGAAGCTCTGTGGAAAAGATCCTCAAAAGGTCATTAATTTTTAATTCTAAATGGCAATGTTTTGAAATCAGTAGGGAAAACCAGCTTCCTGGAAGGACATCCTATATCTGAAAGTCATCTTTATTTTACAGAAGTGAAAACTGAAGAGGAAGACTACAACACAAAAGGAGATTTGAGCTTATTCTTCTAGGGCAGCGATGGCGAACCTATGGCACGCGTGCCACAGCTGGAACACAGAGCCCTCTCTGTAGGCACATGAGCCATAAGTCGCCATCAAGAAATACTTACCCGTCCTCTGATTCCAGATTTTGGCACTCCAATCTGCTGGTGCTGTGGTCCAGCAGAGGGGTGCAATGGCGACCATTACCAGTTTAGCCCAATGGGGGGATTGGAGGACTGGTATTTCTTTGTTATTACTGCCCATAGGGGAAAAAACACACAGGTATTTAACCTTTGCAGAGCAGGAGTTGTTTTTTCTAAACTAAAACCTCAATATTTGGGTTTAATTGCAATGTTGGCACTTTGAAATAAATAAGTTGATTTTGTGTTGCAGTTTGGGCACTTGGGCTCAAAAAGGTTCACCATCACTGTTCTACAGCTTTATCAAGACTGAGAATGTCAATTTGGAGAGGGAGAACATAAAAGTTAGAACAGAAAGATAAGCGTGCCACAAAATGACCCCCTTATAGAACAGACACAAAAAACAGTGAGATATCTTGAACTGAAAGGATATTTGGGGGCTTGTCCAGACAGGGGACTTTGGCAGACCCCTTTTTCCCCACCTTTCTTCTCAGCCAAGGTTCTCCTGGGGCTGTGCTGCCTTGTGGGGGTGCAGCCCATGGAGTCGACTAGCCCCTTCTCTGCTTTTTCTTGCAATCATCATTCAGCTGGCTTTCCTTTTTTCTTTTCTTTTGTTGTTGTTGTTAACTAAAGTAAATGGCATTGAAAGAGCAATGTATCAATCTAGCATGGTGTGGAGGGGGTTTCTCTGTCCTCCCTTTTAATGCCACAACCCACCTATTATATCACAGGGTTATCACCTCAGACAACACCACTCACAGATCTATTTGGATGCGAGCTAAACATCTGCACAGGCTACATGATGAGCTAATTAGGATTCCGCTGAATCATACCAAAAAGAATATATGCCTTACCAATGCGCCAGAAAGATGCACAACAGCTTTTAAAGAGGCAGGATGGACTGATCTCAGTAGAAACAAGTGTGGACACTGTTGTTGAATTCTAACCAACCCTTACCAACAACAATCCATATACTGATCTATATGCCCATCTGGACAGGGCCTTAGAACTTAAACCCTTTCTACATCATACTTTTATTAAAACCTTCACCACCAAAATAAATTTGATAGAGAATGAAGGTTAGAATTAATATCTCAAGGACAATTTTATCCGTCTCTATCCTTATCTGTACTCACCTGCCCCAGAAAGAAAAGAAAGAGATTCACCTTTAAGAGCTACATAGCAGTCAGTGGTCACATGGTCCTTCCCATTCTGGGAATTACAATAGATTGGTGTGAATTTTGTTCAGTTTGAGAGTAATACACATTTACCAAAACTGGCTGTTATCTTCAAAAGTAGGATAAAAAGAATTTAAGCTTAGAATCTGCCAACTCTTGAATTAAACTAGTGACTGGGTTGAGCTTAATGTCTTTAAAGGTGGTATTTCAGACAATTTTCCCTCAGAAAACCATTTATTGTCTGTTAGTTTGTGGCTTACTGCATTCCATTTAGTCAGGAGTGAGCAACTGATGACTATGGTTCATTTGGCTAGCTCAGAAGACAGCATATGGCGTATTCTTACAGAAAATTGTTTCTTGGCAAGAACAAGTACTGGAATGTGGATTAGAAGTTATGTTGCTTTTGGCAATACATTCAGATTTTTATCATACACTGCCATGGTACCTGATTCAATGACGGGTAGTATAAGCATGTTTTAAATTAGGTGTAGACTACTTTGTCAGAGTCAAGAGTCAAATTATCCCTTGTGGAACCCACTCTGGTCTGCACCTCACCCCACCACTGAATACTAGATGCCCTGTGATTTTGCTTGAAACAAGATGTGTGGGAACTACACAGCTCATTCCCCATAAAAATCGCCCTTTCAAATCTAACAAAGCAGTTTGGATATAGCCTGTATTTTTGGCAAAATGCAGGCTATATCTAAACTGCTTCCCCTTCTCACATTTTTTAAAAAATCTTGACATGCTAAGCAGGTTGGATTATTTAACATGAAATTAACATACAGGTAGTCTGCTTTTCAGGGTAACCCCTCCCTGCATATTATAACACTTAATATGATAACGTGGGCTCTAGTTAATGAAAACCTCTGCCACAATCCAGCATGTTTATTTAGAAGTCATATGTATAACTTCCTTAACTACAACAGCTTCACTGACTGCCAGTCTCTTTCCATGGTCAATTCAAAGTGCTGGTTATTCCCTATAAAGCCCTATTCAGCTTGGGTCCAGGTTATTTGAAGGGTGGTATCAACCCATAAAAACCTTCTCAACTTCTAAGATCATCTGGAAAGGGCCTTTTCTCAGCTCCACCACCTTCCCAGGCTCCTTTGGTAGGAACAGGAGAGGGCCTTCTTAGTGCCTATTCCCAGGTTTTGGAATGCACTGCTCTCTTCTTCCATCCTTAGGCAAAGACATTAGAATCATAGATTCATAAAATAATGACTCTGGAAGGGTCCTATAAGGCCATTGAGTTAAAACCCTTGCTCAATGCAGGAAAACAAATCAAAAGATATCTGCCAGGTGGTTGTCTAGGTTTCTCTTGAATGCCTCCAGTGTTTGAGCACTCACCACCTCTCAAGGCAATTGGTTCAATTGCAGTACTGCTCCAACAGTTAAGAAGTTTTTCCTGATATTCAGCCTAAATCTGGCTTCTGTAACTTGAGCTCATTGTTGTGGGTCCTGCAGTGTAGGATGAGCGAGAACAGATCTTCCCACTCTTCTATATGACAGACTCTAAAGTATTTGGAAAGTGCTATTTTATTTCAGAGATAAAAGGAACAACAGGTACGTTTGGCCTTGGAATTCAAAACAAAGCAAGGCAAAGGCTAATAGAGTTTTGTTGAGAACAAGCTGGTCATCACAAACACTCTTTTCCAACAATACTGCTTCTTGGGAGGAAAGCGATGACAAACCTAGACAGCATCTTAAAAAGCAGAGACATCACCTTGTCGACAAAAGTCCGCAT